GTAAAGTATCCAGAAGATTTGCTTTCAATTTTGGTATAAGAAAATGGATAAAAATCATTGAAGATGTACACATGTTTAAATTTTATGAAAATATTCTTTTAATTCTATAAGTAACTACAAGAATTTTAAAATTAAGTATTAAGTAAAGATAAAAGAGGATCACTGACCAATAACATTGTCTTAATAATGAATATTCACATATATGCATATCTCTGTTAACAACAACAAATCTTTTTAGAATAAGCTGGCCAGATCTAGGCTATTAATTGACTTTTAAATGCAATCTCATTTGCAATTTGTAGGTTAATCTAGCAACTTTCAGATGTACCTTTATTTGTTACTTATTGACCAATTTGGCAATATCCAAATTTAAATTTCCTACTTTTAGTCCAATCTAGCAACTTTCAAATCTATTAGGCATGAAATAATGCATTTTTTAGTTGGTTGTTAATCCGGTCATCTAATGAAGTAAACTCCTTAGCATTTAAAAATATTTTGACTTATTCCTGACACTTTTCTTTCCAGATAATTTTTCTTTCAATATATTGTTACTAATAAGCCCAATAAAAATGATTACAATGAAACAGTGTTGATTAATTTTACTGTATAAGTACAAACTGGGAAAAAGAACTATTTTTGCATCGAATCATTACATGTGATGAGAAATGGATACACTTTGACAACAGGAAGAGAGTTGACCAGTTGTTAGATGCAAGTGAACCACCAAAACATACCCCAAAACTCCAATGCACACTAAAAAGTTAATGGTTACTGTATGGTGTTCTTTCAAAGGGGTTATTTATTTTTCATTCTTGCCTCAAGGGAAAACAATAACAGCAACTTCATATTGTGAAGAAATTGTGTGTATGCAGGAAAAAATGAAAAAGAAATATCCTAGACTTGTGAATAGGGATGGTCCAATTTTGCTGCATGACAATGCACAGCCACATGCTTTTCAATCATATGTTCAAAAGCTGCATAGACTGAATTATGAAGTTTTGCCTCATCCTCCATATTCACCCAATATCTCTCCTCCTGATTATCATTTATTTAAGTATTTTGAGCTGTTAATACACAATAAAACATTCTCCATGGAAGCATTTGAAGTATTTATTACATCAAAGGATGAACATTTTTTAAAGAAGGTATCAAGAATTTGAGGTGTTTTGAGAACAGTCATTCATCAACATGTTGCCTATTTCAACTAAATAAAATAGTTATTTAACATTTCAGGAGCATTTTATTAATTTCCTATAAAGTGTGTCATTTCATGTGTGACAACCTAATAGTTTCATTTGTTGAACACTCTGGCAATATACAAATGTGGTCTCAGTTTCTAAGCCTTCAGTCCCTTCTCTCTTCAATCAATTTGAAGTATTGACATCTACTGCAAAAAACAGTGCTTTGCTTGGAAATTATCTTCCAATTCCATTCTCAACTCATTTGGAATATATCTACCTAATTTCCCCCTATAATGGAGGCTCAACTGAGTACATAACTTCTTGGTCTCTGCTATCATTTCTAAATTAGAACCCCAAAGGGCATGCAGATTTGATGGTACCTCAGTTTTCATACTAAAGAAGTGTGCTCCTGAACTAGCTCTTGTTCTCTCTAAACTTTATAACAAATACCTCACTGCTTTTTGCTTTCTAGCTTGATGGAAGTTCTCCTCTATAATTCTTGATTTAAGGTCACAGGACTCCTCAAAAAACACTCTGATCCCTCAAATTATCACTCTATTAATCTCTTGCCTCTTTTTGGCAAAGTACTCAAGGCTCTAATCAATGCTGAATATGTAAGCATCTCATACAGCCTCCTTTTGGACAAACAATTCCATTTTACCAGGTCTACAGACAATATGTTAATGACTATCACTAAATTTGTCTATCAAGCTTTAAATAAGAATGGTGAAGCTTCGGCTATGGCTCTAAATATCTTAGTTATTTAAGGGTTTGACATGCTGGCCTTCTCCACAAGCTCAAGGACTGCAATGTCATAAGAAGAATATTTGGCTTAATCTAATCCTTCCTAACAAATTGGGTAATAAAGGTTGTATTGAAGGGGAATGTGTCTAGATCATTTCATACTAATGTGGAAGTATCCCAGTACTTTATCCTTGGACCTACACTGTTTCTGGTCTTCATCAATAGCCAGCCTGATGTCATCAGTTCCCAACTAGGTATTTATGCAGATGACAACTATTTACTCCTGTTTTAGTAGTAAGTCTGACAGATCTGACAAAGTAAACTGGGCAACTGTTCTTGAAAATGATCTCCAATCAGTGGTTAACTGAGGCAAGAAATGGCTTTTAACTTTTAATGGCTCCAAAACAAAATTGCTTTCATTTAATCACTTTATTATCTTTCATTCCTTGTAACCCCTGGAATCCTAGTGACATTATCGCCTTACTTGGGGTGAAATGATTAAACAAAAAAAAATTGGCAACTTTCGCCAATTTAGCTTTACTTGTTACTTGTTGAACCATCTGGTTATATTCAGATGCAAACTCATTTGCTATTTGTAGTCCAATTTGACAACTTTCAATTGTAGCTTTGTTAGTTATTGAACCATCTGGCAATATTCCAGTGTTGTCTCACTTGCTATTTGTAATCTAATTTGACAACTTTTTAATGTAACTTTATTTGATACTTGATGACCAATCCAGTAATATTCAAATGTAACCTCATTTCCTTTTTCTAGCCCCCAATCTGCAAACTTAGTTCAGATTTTTCAATTTCTAAATTATTCATGCTCACATAACATGGAAGAAAAATAAAATGTATGTTTTTATTCTAGTTAATATATTTTACACATGTGCTTTTGGATGTATATGCAGTGTCATTGTGTTATTGCAGTGTAAACATTTACGCATTAGATATGCATTAACATTGCATCTTGGTTTTAATCTTATGCATATTAAGTGTTTTCAGTTTGATTCACATGAGGTAAACACATTTGATGATTCTAACATGCTGACAATACATTCAGAACTTTCAAACAGATGTATATATATATATACATCTTAACAAATCTGACAAATACAAACATAAATATGCATGTATATGCACACACACACACACACACACACACACACACACACACATATATATATACACAAGAAGACATAAGTCATTGAAATAATGAACATAACATATAATGCATGAAAAGTGACAATAAACATATAGGAACAATACAAAAGTGATAACAATACAAACATACAACAAATATACAATGTAAATTGATATAAACAGAATGCACACACACAGACAAACACACACACACATACACATGAGAGTGAACTGAAAATTTCTTGGCTTGCTCTACTTCCCAAACTCAGTTATATGATATTTGTTCATTGAAATACTGGTTTTGGAAAGCAAGTTGAGCTGATAACTTTTCAGCACATCTTCATACATGCATAAAATTATGACAACATAGAAAACAATAGAGAGCACAAGAAAATAGAGAAAGCAAACTATAATAGAAACGCTCCCAAATGATGTTTAATATAGGAATAAATGTAGCATTTAAAGTTTTCAAAATATCTATTAAAACCTTTTCAGACCCCACAAACTTTATTGAAAAAGTGCAGATAACTGACTTCATATTCACAATGTTTCAGCTGTCAGTGGATAAAAGTGTTGGATGAAGTAATCCAAAAAGTGACTTGACCCAAAGAGTTCTGAGTTAAATATCTGACAGAGGGAACCAAAAACTTGGAGAGTTGATTTACAAAAGGGAATTAAGAGAAACTGAGATATCCAAATAAGGCATGGCATGTGGAATTAGAACAATTTACCCCCATGGACTAAATTAAGGGTTGGTTAAAAAATTTCAACGTATATCATCTGAAGAAGGCCAGAGTGTGCAACAGCTAAAACATTCTTAATATGTCAATAAAAATGAGGACAACAGTCCAAACGATGTCAATAGTGTAACTAGTTACAATACCTCATCCCATAGATAGACATATGTTGACTTCATTATAAACAATATCAGTTAAAACATGATGCAATATCCTACTGTATTTATTGCAATCTGTTTTAGTTTATTAAAATAAACTTATGTAGCTTAGAATTTATAATATATTAATGTTATTTTATATACTATTGAAATATATATATATATATATATATATATATATATATATATATATAGAGAGAGAGAGAGAGAGAGAGAAAGAAAGAGAGAGATTGCTTAAAATTTGCTATATTGGGGATAGAACATTTATAAATGTATATGGTGTGGTTGTTGTTATCAACACTGCATGCCATGTTGATTCCTATGTCTGCATTGTCTGTATTGATCTGTCCCTTTCTCCCCCTCTCTCTCTCCACACACACACACATATATATATAGTAATTATTGTTATACACTAATCTACTTGGACAAGTGTCCTCATCTTAATCATTATAGTCAAAATGTTTCAAGTGTTGTACTCTTCAGGCTTTTTCAGGTTTTAGTCATATTCAATAATCTTCTGGGAGTTTCAAACTGAACTCCTTAGTCAATCTACAAGAATAGAAATTTCAAGAATATTAACAAATGCAATAAACACCTGACAAAGGTCAGGGGGTATAACAGCTGAAACAACCAAGATAAGGAGGTTGATCATAAGAGATTAGTATATCATCACTAAATTCAAAATCTTAGAATATAGATATCAACAGACAAATAGATAGATAGACAGACAGACAGACATAGATATAGATGCTGCTTGAGAAGATTTTGTTTAAATGCTTGGCATGTATATTCTATTCATGCATAAAAGAACACCTGACTAATTTGTAAACAGGAACAGTTGACAGAACTTTATATATTTAAGGAATAATGATAATAACAATGATGAACACTTTGCAGGAAGAAAAGCTCCAAGTACTTTTGTATTTTGGAAGCAAGTACCACCAAGCAGAAAGAGATGAAAGAAAAAGTCAGTAAAGAATACCAAGAAGAAGAAGAAGGAAAATATTATTGCAGCAAAAACTTAAAGAAATAAATACCTGAATAGTTTCCGTTGTGAGGTACTGCATATATGTTTTAAACTGGATAAATCAAGAAGATTTTAAATAAATTAACATGGATATAAATATAGGTGGAATATCTAAAGTGATAAACTGAGTTGCTGTTAAGAGTTTTGATACAAAACAATTCTACAAAAATAAACTATATAAAGTTCAATGTAGATAAAACACAGGCAGAGAGCAGACATAGAATGTGTGGAAATAAAGATGAGATAGTGAACCACTTCGTCAGTATTTGTAGCAAATTATCCCAGAAAGAATATAATAGATATGCCTAGGTGGGAAAGTTGATCCACTTGGAACTGGGCAAGCAATTGCATATTGATTTTACAAACCAATGAGATATACAGAGAACAGAATCTACTATAGAGAATGAAACATGTAAAATCCTTTGGGATTTTGAGATTCAAAAGGATTGCCCAATTCAAACCATAAAACTGAATTTGGTAGTTACAAACAAGAAGCAAAGAATATATTAATAGATCCCACTGTTCCTGAAACCACAGAGTAATTCTTAAGGAAAGAGGAGAGTTATATAAATAAAATTGTGGAGCATAAAGCAGTAGTACCAGTTGTTATCAGAATATTAGGAACATGCCTGAAGAGTCTAGGGAAAAAGGTAGAGGAATTAGAGATCAAGAATAGAATTGAGACCATGTAGACAACAGTGCTGCCAAAATTCATTAGAATACTGAAGAGTCTTGGAATATTGAAAAGAAAACCTGAGGGGGGAAAAATCAGGAAAATACAAAAAATGAAACAATAAACATTTGTTAGTTTGATGAAAGAAAAATTATCAAAGTACTTAGTAAACACCTCAGCAAAGTGCATTTGTTGATGATGATAATCAAATAGACAATTCTTTATTTTCTTTGTCTTTCTACACTGTTATGGAAGAACATAAACAGATAGGAATAGAAGTATAATGATTAAAAAAAAAGAGATAGAAAAGAGTGAGAGATAAACTAATATTAAATTGAAATGAATATGAATACATCAATTAAAGTGACTTGTACTAGTCTTCAAAAAAGGTTAAATTTATTAAAGAATATTTGCAGAAAAAATTCTTAATCATAATTAATATTATTAAAATGAAGAAAGTTCATAGTAAACTGAAGTGAAAAAATATGCAAGTAGAACAAATGTTACACCTGAAATTCTTTTAGCAAAATTTTGATTAAAGATGGTCTAAATAACAAAACATATATCAAAACTTGACAATATTCACTACATCATATTTTATTATGCAAATCAATGTTTTAACAAGAGAATTGTTATTAACAAACTGATGGTAGAAAATCTTCATGAAATGCATGCATTTATATGAGCAATATATCATGTGAATTTCAGCTTATAATATCTGACCCTATTAAAAATATTGATAATAATTTGAGTTGAAGTCATTAGGTTTTATTATGCAGACTAAGTGCAATGTTAGGTTTTAGTTATAAATAAATCCAAAAGAAATAAACCTCTGAAGTATATTTGCTTAACAGAATATCCCATATAACTAAATAAATTATTATTTTAAATTTTAATATAGGTTTTTTGACATTCTATAACCTTTATCAGTCTTTTGTTCATTCATTTTGTTAACTTTTGTACTGTTTCAACTTTAACATAACTTTACACTTTCTAAAGACCTTCTTTGAATATCATTTTCCATTCTCATAGACATCTTTTTTAATGAGATGATCATGAAATTTCTGCTGAATATCTGGTGAGGGTGGGGTGCATTCAATTAATTTTGAATCACTGAAACCTTTTTTTAGCAATAGCCTGTTTTGCAGATTGTGAAGGAGCATTATCTTGCATGAGTATATTCTTGAACTTAAAGTTTCTTGGTTGTGACCTGTATCACTCTAGAACTTGCAATAATTCTCTGCTTTTATCTTGACATCATCAACAGCTATGAAGGAATCTATAATTTTACTACCTACAATACAAGCCCAAAATGTTACTCCTCTTCCCCACTGTTATCTTTTAAATTATGTTGGTTGACTATTTCCATGAAAGGCCCAATCTCTAATCCAGCCATTAGGTTCATCCAATGTAGCTCTACATTTATCACTAAAATCTATTTTGTGCATTTGGTTTTCATTTACTTCTTTGCTCAACTTACATGTTTCTCTAAGGGATGTTGACTTAAAGATGATACATTGGATTCTTTCTTGTTTTTAACCAATGATCTTAATGTTTTGTATTATTTCTTTCTGTTTACATTCACAATATCAGCTACTTTAGATATTTTTTTGTTGGTTGATCTACTTTTCTTATTGCCATTTTAATTTTTCTCAAATTTTTCTTGTGACATTCTAAAACCAAAATATGTTTTTCTTCTTATTAACTTAACAATCTTTTCAAGTAATTGTAAATTAAGTTATCTCTTTTTTTGTGGTCTTGCCATAATTAGCCAAAGTTTGGTTTGCCAAATTTGATCAAATCACCTTTACTTACTGATGTATAAACATTTAAAAACTGTTTGTTTTAATATCATGTGCAATAAACTCTTTAGCTTTGATGAGTATTATATATACATGCCAATAACGTGAATCTATGAAAAAGATTTTATTTTAATTAAAGTATGTCGCTATGTGTTTAATCTTAATAGATATTTTTTATAAAAGACATGTAGCAGGAATATATTTTTTTATTAAAAATCACTAAACCATCCTAAATATTGAGAGAAATCCTAGTAAAATAAATTCCATCTTAATTTCAATATTGCACTGAGAAATAATTTTATACGCTTCTTAAAAATACAAAACTTAAATAAAATGGAAAAGGAAATAAGAAAAAGGTGGTGTTAAGCAAGCATTTATTCAATCAACTTTTATCAAAGAGAATCATTGATAAGTTTGACACATTGACTGACAACCATGAGATAACTTTGGGCTGGCAGCTTTCATTAAGATGCTGGCCACAAGTTATCTCTTTTTTTGTGGTCTTGCCATCAAGGCCATAACTACGACATTTTTCAGTGTTTTTAATGCAAATAACTGATACCTGGCATCTAAGAAAGGAATAAAAAATCGTACTGACAACTAAAACCTTTTTATGGGAAAAATTTATTGAAAATATAACACATAAATGAAGCATTTGAAACATTTTTTATTACCTAATTTGGTTATTATAAAGTTGGCATTTGAAGACAGATTTCGTAATTGACTCAACATGTTAAAATATTAAACAATAAAACTATAAATAGGTCTACTTTTAAACTGTTTTTGCTTTCATTGGCAATTCTCTTTTATTGTTTTATATTTTATTATTTAATGTTTTAAACTTATCAACAATCCTCTTTGTTAAAATTTGATAAAAAAAACTTTAAAAGCACTCATACCACCTTTGTCTTTGACAATTAATTTCCACTTCATGCTATAAATAATTTTACCTACAATTGGCATGAAGTTAATTATATATTTCAATTGATCCCTTAAAATTGTGTTTTTTCTGCTTAAAAATTTGATAAAGCAATATGCTATACAACAATTAAAATTCAAAATGAATTTTTTAATTGTTTTTAATAATTTTTGTGACACACACATAAAAAAAAACATAAAAAAGTATGCAATTTCTCATAGTTTCAAAATCACTGCTTATGATTTAGAAACAAATCAATTTGCATTTGATTTGGCTAGATGTAACTGTAAATTCTATGCTAACAGTTTATTTTCTTGCTTATGGAACTCCCTTCTGGCTCCATGCTTTTCAGCCAACTTTAATCTTCAAAAATTTAAATGCAGTTTCCATTACTATCTACTGTCTTCCTGATTACTACTTTTTTATTCTCTCTCTTTAGCAATGTTTTTGTTTCTAATTTTTCCACACCCACTAACCCCTTCGTGTCTTAGTGGTTTTACTGCCTTGCTCGATTAAAAAAAGAAAAAAAAATACTGCTGTAAAGGTTATTATTTTTTTTGAATGTAATGTAATTTATGGGTGGGAAAACAAACCAAAAATGGCACATTAAAAAATATATACCAATTCTTTATCTGCTCAGCAATTAATTTCAATTATGATATATCAAGCAGTGAGAAGCTGCTTTTCCAAAAATTATTTCTGAGCACTACACTTTTATTTCAACACTAAATTTTCTAACATCAGAATTTTAAATCTAGAAGTTTCTAGTTGAGTTCTCATTATGGATTTAATTAAGTGAAATATAAATCATATATTCACCAGAACAACTAAGATAAACAACATGAATTCACTATCTTTAATGGATGCAATAATATAGGGAGGAGAGAGAGCAAGAGAGAGAGAGAATTAAAAGCTCATTTTATTTCATTCATTTTTTTTTATTTTAATTTCTTTTTTAGCAGAAACAAGTCATCAAGTGAAGATAAGAAGTTTAATTTTTATAATTTTTTAAAATAATTTTTTCATTTGAAAAGAAAATAAATCAAGCTTCTTTTGAGCTGTTTATACATTTTTAATCATTAATTCTAAAAAAATAAATTGACACTATTTGCAGTTCCTAGAAAAAAACAATTCAATTTTATATATTTTAACTCATGTATTTTCTTTGATTTGAAGTCTGCACTCATCAGTCTACAGTGACAGTTAAATGTAGACAGTGTAACAAATGGTTCATACAAGTGTAAGAATCTATCTATCTATTTATCTATCTATCTATCCAGCTATATATATATATATATATATATATATATATATATATATATATATATATATATATATATATAACAGAGAATGTAAGAGACGTTTTCAAAGATTAAATAACTAAAAGTTTTAACAATGTAAATTTTTAAAAAGCATTAGAAAATAAGAAAGTGAAATGCACAAATTTAACAAATTATTTTCATTTTTTTTGTTCCTTTTCTATTTTTTAAAAATCCACAGAAAATAATCAGTCTACACAAAATATTTTTATTCTCAAAATAATGAAGGAAGGATATTCAAGATCATTTTAATAGATGAATGCACATTGGAGAAATCATTGAATATCTTTTTCAAATATTAAAACTAAAAAATTGCTTATGTTGATTATAATTAATTAG